ACCCATACCAGCTAATGAAGGTTGACTTGGTTTAGTTTGGAAACTAAACTTTGTTTTTGGTTTATCTTCAGTTTTTGGTTTTTCTTCTTCTATCGGTTTTTCGTCACTTTTCGGTTCCTCTGACTTTACCTCACTTGCAGGTATGGTTGTGTCGTCAACATCTTCATAAATATCATATGCCATCTGTTTTTGTTTTCCTTTCAACTTTTTGTGTTTGTTGTAAAGTTTAGAATATTTCGACTCTAAGTCAATGAGATGTTCTATAATGAACTGTTGATCGGTGAAGTAAACTTTTCCATCTGTTGTCTCGAAAGCTCCTTCAGACTTCAATATTTTATTTGTGAGAGTCTGTTTCTTTTTTGAGATACTAGCCGTTCCATTTCTATGAAAAGTGACTTTGTAGTTAGGGTTTGTATTTCCAGACCTGGCACTTTCTATTATTGAATTTTTCTCTTCATCTGTAAGTTCTTTGACAGGTTTTGACAATGGTTCTGAACTTTTTGTTTGTGGTGTCAAATCTACCGTTTCAACTTCTTCCGTCATTTCATCTCAGTAAAAAATTTTAGTTTGGTTTGTTTTCAACTGGTTGTTGTTGTTTTTTAAGTCGGTCTAAAACTTCCTGAGGTATAGGAAGAACTTGACAAACACGTGGTTGTGTAACTGCTGGAAGTCGACAAATCCATCTTGAACCCATTTGTCTCAATGCTGTATTGTTCATTTCATCTCAGTAAAAAATTTACATTCCCCACGTTTGAGGTGGTTGCGGTTGGTTGTTGTTTACCCACTGTTGTGCATGGTTATATCCTCTGTTAAAGAATCTTTCACCTTGGTCCATATAGTGTCCTGCTTGGTTATAGTAGTCATTTGCTTTGTTATAATAGTTTCCTGCTTGTCTTCCTACATTGTCCATCCATCCTTGAACTTTTCCTCTTGTTTCAGGATTTGGAATAAGATTTGCTGCATCTCGTGCTACATCCCAACCTTTCTGTACAGTTTGTATAATAGGTTGTGCTTTCTCTTTAAGTATACCTAATGTACTCAAAATCTTCCTTCCAACTCCAAATACACCTCTGGCTATTGTTCCACTGCGGGCAAAAATCTGGATGCAACTCCTGCTAATGCGCCAAATAAACCCATTTCTTATAGGATAAAAATGACGAATCCAAACAAGGACCCGTATGTTTCTAAAGCAACAAAGAAAGCACTCATGGTAAAAATCTTTAGTTCAACACCAAATGCTTGGTTTATGGATATCTTGGAAAACATTCCGAGGTATAGAGAAGATGGACCACCATACTGGCTAATATTTGTCGGTCAAAACACAAGATACTGTGAAGCCATACCATTATGGTCCAAAAATATTTTAGATGTGAAAACTGCTTTGACAATATTTGTTGACAAATACCATCCAACAAAACTGACATCTGACTGTGAAAGTTCTTTCAAATCAGACGATATTAAAAACTATCTGCGTTCAAAAAATGTAAACCAATATTTCATTGTCGACCAAAACCATTCTGCTCTTGGTGTCATTGACAGTTGTATAAAAATCTTAAGAGACTTAAACCAACCACAAGGTGGTGAGGTAGATGAAATGTCATATGACGACAAGTATAGACACTTCTCCATGGCAAAGATGAGACAAGTTTTAAATATTTACAATACCCGTAAACAAAAAGGTTTGGGAAACCACTCCCCTGAAGAAATGAAAAACAACCCCGACTTAGAGAAAGACTATATATTTAATAGTTTAGTCAAAAGAGACAAACAAGAAAGAATGCCAGGCTTCAAACTTAAGAAAGGTGACAAAGTAAAAATAGAAATACCTAAACGCGACCCATATGAAAATACTATTGACTATGACAACAATGGGAACTCGACAGGTACTCACATTCGTGTTCGTAAAAATAGAAGAAAGTATACAAGAGAATATTATGAAGTTTTAGGCAAACATGGCAAAATGTACAGACTGCAAGCAGAAGATAAAACTACTATTGTCAGACCTCGTTTCAAACTTGTCAAAGTTCAAGGTGGTATACTTTCAAAGACAGTTCCTAACAAATATAAGACAACTCCTGACGAATATGCTAAAGAAGTTGAAAATGACGACTAAGCAATTCTATACCATGCGTAAACTGTCATGTAAGGTGGCATGTATTCTTTACTTTGTCCCGTTGTTTGTGTATATCCTGAAACGAAATGTGTATGGTTTCCTTCTCCCTGAGTGTCACTCCAGTAACAATTTATAGCAAACTTAACGTCGTCTTTAACATCATATCCTTTACCTTTTGTCATTCCTGACCAATCCCAATATCTATGCTTATGCCAACCTGCTTGAGATGTACTTAAATCTATGTAATGACTGTGCGCAGGTAAGTTTTCACCTGAAATCGTTTTACTTCCACCTGTTTCCTTTGAAGAGTTTGCACAATACAAAAACCTGTCGACTATTTGTTCCCATGCACCAACACCAAACATTACTTGAGGACCTCTTGCTTCCATAGATGTATAAATAGAACCTACTGGGTTCATTAAATCAAACATATGAGATATTATAGGATTGTCTCTTTTGAACTTAAATATAGTGCAACTATTTCAGGTTTCTTCTGGTTTAAGTCAGAATATTTTTTATAATATAATCTTATGTTTTCAGGTAGGTAAAATCTTGACTATAATATTTATTTCTGTCATCTTCATAATAGTATACTATTCTCGTTTTTTCTATTGCATTATATCTTTTATATCTATAAAAATCTAAATATAATGTTAGCTTTTGTTCATCTACATGTGGTGTTCTGTTGTCATCTCCATAGTCATAATAGTATGGTGCTGGAGCTGGGTCAGGCAATGTCATATCTGTCATTTCATAAACTCGGAAATATTTCTTTTGTTCGTCTCCATATAAGTTTAAGTAGCAGTTGTTGTCTAATGGAACTTTAACTTGTGTACCATCGTTCTTTTTATAGCTTACATACATTTCATTGTTATTTTTCGGAATGAGTTTATACCGTGTACCATTTTTTAAGGAGTGTACAAACTCCCATCTAAAATATTTGTTTTCTTCATTGACAGAAAAGTCACCAACAATAGTTTCAATATTTTTTGTTCCAACTAAACTTTGGTATATTTCATTGACATATGTTTTATCTGCTTTATTTTCAAGGCTAACGTTTAAGTCTGTTTTTTCAGAAGATGTATGTGTATGTCCAACGTCACTTTTCCTGTTTAAGGTTTCTTGTAAGTTTGTAATATTTGCAATGGTATGGTATGTCCAACGTCACTTTTCCTGTTTAAGGTTTCTTGTAAGTTTGTTATTTCAGATATAGTATGTGTATGAGTCTTTTTAGAATATTCGTTTTCAGCTCTTGTCACTTCACTTGACATTTTATTGTCAACATATGTTTTGTCTGCTAGTTCAGGATGAGTATGTTCTTTTGTTGCATAAGCATTGTTAGCTCTTTCTTCTTCTTTTGCTATTGCATCGTCTACATATTCTTTGTCAGCTTTGTTTGTCAACATCTGTTTTCAAAAGAAGTTCAGATATAGGTTTCTCGTTTAAAGTTCCTTTGTTGGATTTATACAGACAGTATGGTTCTTATTGTCTTGAAAAGAAACTCATCTGTCATTGGGTTTAATGTCAGTTTTAAGTTCCTTCTTTCAATGACTCAATATCTTAGAATAGTTTGAAAAGTTTGTTGTGTTCTTATTTAGAGCTTGTATAATGAGTTGTCGGTTGTGTTGTATTTCTCTCAATAGACGCTGTTTCATTTGACATTTTTATTCTAGATAAAATATGCTTCCAATAGAAAAAGAAAATTCAAGAGTTGCTACAACTAAACCATTAGATGAACTTTTTACTAATGTCGGTCAAAAGTTTGAGACAGAGACCGTAAAGCATGAAGGCTATCGTTTTGACTACCCATTAAGATGGCTAAGAGACCCATCTGTCACAAAAGCTATTGGCTTTCGTAGAATGAAGTTTGTGTCTGTAGAAGATAAAAGTTTTCCATTTATTGTAAGGTTTCATATAGATTATATATCTGAAGGGAAACGAAAAATGTGGGAAGAAATTGAGCTAATACAAGTTGACCTTTCATCTTCTCTACAGACTGCGTTAAAAAATATAGAAGATAAAATAAATTCATGTTATGCAAAATATGCTGATGAATATGCAAATACCGAGAGCACACTTTATGTGAGAATTGTATATGACAAACAAAATTCACAAGTGTCATTTCAAATCTACGAAGACAATCCAAAGAAAGACGAACAAATATATACAGAATTCACTGCAATGTCATGGTATTATTTGCAAAGAATGTTAAATCAGAAAGTCGAACTTCCTTTAGCAAATATTTACAGTCGATATGCAAGAGATGAACCATATTTATTTAAAGATGTTTTCGACTCAGATGCTATTATAGTTCATGCTTCATTTTCTGGCGCCCAAAACTCTTTCTTATGCTTGGCAAATGACTTTTACGAAAAACCTACAAAGTTATACGAACCACCAAGTGGAAGTATTTCAGACTTTCAAGTATGGTTTACTACAGATGGAAGAAAAAGAATAATTCCATTATACCATGCGTTTTACTTAGAACTTAGTTTCATATACAACTACTATCGAACGGTAAAAATATAATTTTTTAATACGGTTGAGGTGTTGGATTTGGTTGCCAACTTGACTGTGGTGCAGGTTCAGGCTGTTGTATAACAGGAGCTTGCTCTTCTGGTTCAGGGTCTTTAGGTATAATACCAACAAACTGACCTACTCTTTTACCAATATTTTTGACACCGTTCCAAATTCCTTTTCCGACAGATTTTATTCCATTCCATATACCTCTTCCAACATTTCGAAAGAAGTTTCCTATCTTACTGAAGAAACCCATTTTACTATATGTAAAAATCTAATGTCCGCCTAGTCTCTTACGTTTCCTTCTGAGTTCCATTGCATTCTTTAACTGGAGCTCATACATTCTGTTTCTCCTCTGGTAGAAAACATATTCTGGGTCAACTCCTGTGTTTGCGTCATCTGCATAAAGTTGTTTATATCCCACTTCAGGGTTTGTATAAAACTCTTTCCATCTCATATTTGCATACCATGGTGGCAAACCTAACGCAGCGTCATTTGACATGGCAGTTTGCATTTGTACATCTGTTGGCACTTGACCATAGTTTGCCATTGCAGTTTGTATTCTAACTTCATTTGGAATATTCTCTGGGTTTGGTTGTCCAGGTTGCTGTGCATTCGCTAAGTTCTGTGCGTCCATTTAATATTAGATAAAAATATCTCTTACGAGTACATATGCTGAACATTTGCTGGTATTGGTTCATCTTCATATTCTCTATATCTTTCTGCCACGTCAAATAAGTAAATGACACAATGGAAAAAACCTAAAACAAGTAGTCCTATTTCAAACCACATTTACTTACTAGTAAAATTTCTTTGTTATGACACTTTCTCCAGTTTATAGGACCTCTCTCATATTCTATCTTGTCATATATAAACTCATAGTCATGTATGTCCTCTAACCATCTCATAACGGTTTCCAAACCACTTTTATCGGATGTAAAGTAAAAGCATGGACAGTTATGTAAAACGTCTAAAGTTTCTAAAGAGTCTCTCAAAGTCCAGTCTACTTGGTATTGAAAATCCCATGTGTTATAGAACGGCGGGTCCACTATAAAGAAAACATTTTCCTTGTCTTTATATTTTTCATACAACTCTGTCCAATGACATCTCACAAACTCTATACCCTCAATATATTTTTCTATGTCCTCTTTGAAAACATTTGTATAGTTAAGATATAAAACTTTTGACATAAGTGTTTCAATGTCATGAACTCTTATAGAACCACTATACAATAGTCTAGAAGATATACTATCCCAGTCTATATATTCTGCTTTTTTCAAAACCTCTCTGACAGTATTTTTCTTATCTAATGGTATACGTTCCATCTTACCTATAGGTATCTTTTCTTTTAACTCTTTCAATATTTTGTTTGTGTCTGGTATATGTTTGAGACGGTTCATATAGTTGTCGAAGTCATTGCATATAATCTCTGAGTCAGGAAATACAGTATGGCACAAATGAGATATATAGAAACTTCCACCGAACAAATCTACAAATGTTAGACCATTCGGTAGTTTCTTAAGTTCTCTCAATAGAATATCTTTACATCTACTCTTATTTCCAAAGAAGGGTAACGGTGGTTTTGTAAAATTCATTTTATATATATAATAAAAATGTTTTTTCCTGAAAAGTGACAGATGTTTTGTTGTGACTTCTTCGTAAAGACTTTGTTGAGATTTCTTCGTAAATGAGTGTAAATGACCAAAAAATAATGTTTATGTTAGAATGTTAGATCTAACACCTTTTCTAACATGTTTTCTAACATCGTAGAAAACTCATGAATTTCTTCGTAAAGACTTTGTTAAGACTTCTTCATCTAATTTCTCATGAACTTTCTTGTCTATGTTTTGTTAAGATTTCATCGTAAAGACTTTGTTGAGATTTCTTCGTAAATGACCCTAGTAGTATATTTTTGGTGTAAATTTCATGAAAATTCACGATGTTAGAAAACATGTTAGAAAAGGTGTTAGATCTAACATTCTAACATAAACATTATTTTTGGTGTAAATTTCATGAAAATTCACGATGTTAGAAAACATGTTAGAAAAGGTGTTAGATCTAACATTCTAACATAAACATTATTTTTGGTGTAAATTTCATGAAAATTCACGATGTTAGAAAACATGTTAGAAAAGGTGTTAGATCTAACATTCTAACATAAACATTATTTTTGGTGTAAATTTCATGAAAATTCAAGAGGTGAGAAAAGAGGTTAGAAAAGAGGTGACATCTCACCTCTTCACCTAAATTATATTTTTGGGTCATTTACGCTCATTACGATGAAGTCTTGACAAAACATTTACGAAGAAGTCTTGACAAAACATTTACGATGAAGTCTTGACAAAACATTTACGAAGAAGAAGTCTTGACAAAACATTTACGAAGAAGTCTTGACAAAACATTTACGAAGAAGTCTTGACAAAACATTTACGAAGAAGTCTTGACAAAACATTTACGAAGAAGTCTTGACAAAACATTTACGAAGAAGTCTTGACAAAACATTTACGAAGAAGTCTTGACAAAACATTTACGAAGAAGTCTTGACAAAACATTTACGAAGAAGTCTTGACAAAACATTTACGAAGAAGAAGTCTTGACAAAACATTTACGAAGAAGAAGTCTTGACAAAACATTTACGAAGAAGAAGTCTTGACAAAACATGAAAACATATATAATTTGTGAAAAGTGAAACATTATATAATGTTTTCGACCAAGAAGACTAACAATTTTCCGAATAAAAACTTCATTTATACTAAACATCTTCGGGGCTAGAAGGCACGAAGTGCCTGGAAGCCCCACTGACTTTTTTTTTTTTTTTTTTTTTTTTCTTTCTGCGCTAAACGAAATTTTAGAAGTAATTCATTCAAATATTTTTATGAAATGTATGAAAATGAAACATTTGTTAAGACAGTTCTTCGATTCAGGTCCAAGTCTTGACACTTGGACACTTTTTTATGAAAATTCAGTTATCACTGAAAAACACACTGAAAATGAAAAATTTAATCCAACAACACAAGGAAATTATTATGTTACAACATGTTTATTCAATGAATTTAAAGAAGTTGTTGTCTATATAGACATCAATGATCAAACAAAACTTCTTATTTCTATTTCTGGATTCAATGGCACAAAAACTCCATCTCGAACAGTTTATTCTTATAAAGGAAGTTGTGTTATCTATCGAACATGTGCCACAAGATCTATACAAACACAATATTGATTGGATGAAGGAGTATTTTTATGTTCATATATGTCATCATCAAATACAAACAACAAAAACATTTTTGAAGATTCAACAGTCTTTGATTGCGGAGAAATAGATAAAGGAGATTCAATTAATCATTTAAGATACGGAAATCTTAGTTATTCACGAAATAACATAACAAATAACAAATGTTATGAAGATGTTTTACTTGATATTTATTCAGAACAGAAATACAACAACAGTCAATCATCTTTCATTGATAACAAAGCAAACTCTAGATGCTTTTTTATTTTTAATACTGGTCCACATCAATTTTATTTATGTAATATCATTAGAAACAATGCTAGTCAATATTGTTTTAATTTATATCAAGCAACAGTTACATTTGAATCTTGTTCAATCAAAAATAATAATTGTACACAAACATTTTATTTTTGGTCATCAAGTTCAGCTACAATCATTAATAGTGATTATGATGGACAAACATCAAGTGCAACAATAACATACTCAATAAACAATTTATACAACAAATTATCACATCTTTCTACAGGACTTTGCGAAGCAAAAAATAAAATTGAAAATAATTTTGAAGAAGAAAATGAGATAAAAAAATTCAACCAAATGAAAAATTTTTGCATCTCCCAATATTTAATCAACTACCAGTGTCAACATCTTCTTAGCATTTCTCATATTCCTTCATATTCAATTTTATCGCTGATTAACTAAATAAACTAATTTTCAAATTTTTAATAATAAATTAATATTTCCAATTTCTGTTTTCAATCGATCAGTTGGATATACAAATCCAGATCTCCCACTTGGTTGATTAGTTTCACCACCATATAGATATCATCCACCACTTTTAGAAGGAAAACTTGACTATAATATTCCTTTATCAAAGTTTTTTCCTGTATCAGTCTCAGTTTATAACCGCAAAGATTATTTTTGCCTGTAGATCCGATAAATAGAAAGATATCAACATTTCTTGAAATTGTAATAGTTGATTCTGCATATACACTATATCCATCAGAGTACTAATAGACTTGTCATTGAGAACATATGCTTCAAATATATATTTTCCAGGATCTAAATTTATTTTGATATATGTGGGATAATAAGTGCTATTACGTGGATAAAAAGAATTTGCATGATATTGTGGGCATATAGGAGAATAATTTTGATAAACTTTACTTGTATCTTGGATAGAACATTTTCCATATCGAAAATTATTTGCTCCAGTCATGAATTACTCAGTACAATTTGAAAAGTTTTATAATGTATTAATAAGATCTAAAACAATTTCATAATGGCGTGATTTAAGATTAATATTTTCAATTAGGATTTATTAGAATGACAATAGTAAATTTTGATAAAACAAATGTATTTACAAAGGGATATTAACTAGACAAAGATGCCAATTGAATAGTAAATCATTTTTTAATTTGTCATGAACGAATATGACAACTTTAATATATGATAAAGTCATATCTTCTTAATTCAAGTGTAAAAGATGCAAAACTTAACGTTAAACATGAAAATAATAGTTACATTTTTGAATATCCATGTGTTAACTATTATGAATGCACATATTATGTTCTTGAAATGCAGCCTGGAATCTATAAGTTTGAACTTTATGGTGCATCAGGTGGCAGCGGCAGTGGGCATGTTCCATCATATCGATTTCCCAATGGAAGCTGTATTTCACAAGACAGAGTTAAACGTGTGAATGGAAATACTGTCTGCAAACAATTACCAAGTACTGGAGGTGCAGGTGCATATATTTCTGGCTACTCAGTTCTTTTTCATCCAATGAAAGCTTTTGCTACAATTTGAGGAATGGGATATTTTGATCAAAGAAATTCTAATTGTTATAAATCTTTTAGTTTATCTTGCATGAATCGAGGTGGTTATGGTGGTGGTGGAAGTTCTCCTGGTTACGCATCAGGATCAGGAGGTGGCCAAACCGCTGTCAAATTTGAGAAAAACGACCTTTTTCATCGTGTAATTGTTAGCGGTGGTGGAGGCGGTTCTGACAACGGTGGTGGCACACTTCAACAGTCTGATGACGGCTCCGGAGGTGCAGGAGGTCTCGAAGCGCAAAGATTTAATATAGACTGTATGTATATTGAAAATTTATCCGCAAATTCTACTTTTGGATTCAGTTTTGGGCAAGGAGAATCTTCTCGCACAGATGGTTCGAAGAATCCATATGGAATCAAAACACCACATGGATTCACAGACAGAGGAAGTGCAGGTGGTGGGTGGTATGGTGGTTTTTGCAGTCATCACAATAATGGTGGTGCTGGTGGAGTTTCTTCTTGGGTTCTGTCAGACAATGCAATTCTTCCGAAAGGAGAATTGACTTTTTATGACGAAAACTATGAAGAAATTGGTCAAGATCGTTATGCATATGATACTTCTGTATCGTTCAA